ATTAACATGTTAACAATGACAGTTTTAAATACTGTTGTTTATTTAAATATGTTTATTTAATAAATTATATCTTCTGTTAATATTTCATACGTGAATATAAGCCTTATGAACAAAGCGTATTTCTTATTTCCTTCTACTGATTTAAAAATCTGCACATCGATCATTGTGGTGGGCCCGAAAAATTATTAACACGCCCCTGAAAATCTCTCCGTACTGCCGACTGTGTTGCCATGTTTCAATAGTCGAAGTGTGTATCATAACCCATTTTCGGAATTTTGCATTGCTTTTTCATTAATAACTCGATAAAGAGTTAGTGAATCGTTATCAATTTTTTTTAGAAACGTTGCTCATTGTGGTGGCCTACGGCAGCCACAGGCGCCGGGTCCCCAGCAACCACGCGGTCGCGCGCACCTGACGCTTAGCACAGGGCGCCCGGCCCCCAACATAAGCGCCTGGCGCTAGCCCCACGCTGGGCGGCCGCGCTAGTTCGCGGCGCCGCCGCTGCGTGGCGGATTCTCTCGGGAGTGAAATTTAGTGACTACCAGTATATAAGGGAGGAAAATGCGAGCATTTTTACTTCACTTCGGCGCTCAGTCGCCACGATATAAGCGCGTGGCCGCTGTTCCTTGCGCCCTAGACGCATACAAAGCGCTGAGTCGCTCTCCTTCGGGAATATAAGCGCTGAGTCGCTCTACTTCGATTCTATAAAGCGCTGAGTCGCTCTCCTTCGGGAATACAAGCGCTGAGTCGCTCTACTCGTGCGCCCAAGCCGCACCACAAGCGCTGGATTGCTTCACTTCCAAGGCGCCATGGTTTCGCCAACAAAGCGTAAATCGCTGCACCGTGAGTGAAGATCTGCGTCAATCGCATAGACTCACAGCAACACATTTCAATGGGAATAACTAACTTTGTACCTTCTTTCTAGACTCCGTTTCCAGGAACGAACGCTCACGTCCATGGAAATCTGAGCGGACACCCCAGCTTGGGCAGGCCGACTGTCTACCGATCCAAAAGAAAACGCGGCCCCTACCTCTGGATCAGTACCGGAAGAGACGACGCACACACGACGAGTCTCAAAAGGTGCTGGCTCCACGATCTCCCCCTCCGGCTCCACGGACTCCCTCGCCGATTCCACGGACTCCCTCACCCGCTCCTGTCGTGGAACCTGACGCTCCTAAAACATCTTTGCCCGTTCCCATCGGTGGAACCCCAAAGCGTCAAAGACCCCTCACGCCGCGAGTCACCCTGTCGCCGTCAGACTACGTGGAGAATATTCCGCCCAAATCCTTCCGAAGTCTGATGACGCAAACTGTGCCGACCCTGTGCGATTTTGGCACACAGACGGATCCCGTCCCTTCACCAAAACCCCTCGCTAATTACTAAGCGTGACGCGTTTACACAAACGAAGAAACGCGGCGGTCAGGCTCGAAGGAGCCCATATAATCTTTATACTCCTCGACGGATATAACCTGCATGTATCCTATTGTATCCCCACCTCCATATACTCCTCGAATAAATAATATATATATCCTGAGTTATTATAACCAAAAGAAAAAGAGTTGAAAAATTAATTTCCTCCCTTGCGATCCAATTCCTTGGGCGTTCCTAACATAGAGATTAAGCGAAGTAAGCCCCATAAATTGGTGACCCCGACGTGATCGCAAGGTTTAAAAATGCCGCAAGACGGTGGAGTACAAATTACGGCTGAAAGCCTCGTACATAAAGTCGCTGTTCGCGTACCCCCCTTCTGGAACGACGAACCGGAACTATGGTTCGCACAATTAGAAGGACAATTTACGATTAGCGGAATTACCCAAGATTCCATTAAATATTCGTACGCTCTATCGCAATTAAATTCAAATCAAATCAAAGAGATTAAAGACGTAATCACTCAGCCTCCCGCGACCGAGAAATATGAAGCGGTGAAGCAAGCGCTCATACAGCGAATGTCTGTCTCCCAAGAACAGCGCACACGACAGCTCTTAGAGCTAGAGGAGTTAGGAGATCATAAACCATCACAATTTTTGCGACGTACCCTGGCCGGAAATAATGTTCCAGATTCTCTCTTACGCACGCTCTGGCTGGGAAGATTTCCACAACAGGCTCAGATGATTCTAGCCACCAGGACCGACGACTGTCTTAACGATGTAGCAGTGCAAGCCGATCGCATCCACGAGATGACGAACAAGGCGGTGGTAGCTTTTACGTCCACACCTGCGGCAACCTCTCTCGAAGCAAAAGTAGAGGCTCTAACAAAACAAGTTGCTTCTCTCACCACGCATCTTTCCCGAGACAAGAAACGGGATAAGAAATCCGAAAGAAAACGGAGCCTTAGTCGCAGCCAGAAGCCGACAAAGAGCACAGACAATGAGAAGCACTGTTATTATCACAACAGATTCGGCGAGAAAGCTAAGAAATGCACTCAGCCATGCACCTACAAATCGGAAAACGAAAAAGGGAGTCACTAGCGGCGGCAAGCCGACTCGCCCCTTCACAACGCCGCCTCTTCATAACGTGTCGGGATACCAAGAAGCGATTTCTAGTCGATACAGGGTCCGACGTCAGTGTATATCCACGCTCAATGACAGCAGGCTACACGGCGTCTTCCACCTATGAACTTTTCGCTGCAAATGGCTCTACGATAAACACATACGGCTGGCTTACATTGCAGCCGGAGCTCGGGTTACGACGTGCTTTCCCTTGGCGCTTTATCGTCGCCAACGTCACAGTACCCATCATCGGAGCTGACTTCCTGGCACACTATCACCTGTTACTCGATCTACAGCGAGGCCTTCTCCTAGACGGAAAAACGGAGCTACGCACAAAAGGCACGGCAGAAAAAGGAGCCACGCAATCCATCAAGGTGCTGGCAATAGAAAACGACTACCATCGTATCTTGGCACAATTTCCCGGGATTACGCGGGCTACTGCCGGGACGCGAAAAGCGAAACACGCTACCAGGCATCACATTAAGACGGCCCACCTGAAGCCTGTCGTCCACGAAGACTCGTCCCCGACAAACTCAAGGCAGCCAAGGCGGAGTTCGACCTCTTGCTCCAAGAGGGGGTTATACGTGTATCAAAGAGCCCCTGGGCGACGCCACTACACATGGTGCCGAAAAAAGGGGATACATGGCGGCCCTGTGGAGACTACCGGAGACTAAACGCGAGAACCGTCCCCGACCGCTACCCCATACCACATATAGAGGATTTTTCGCAACGCCTACACGGCAACAGAATCTTCTCGACACTGGATCTTGTACGAGCGTACAATCAGATCCCCGTACACCCCGAAGACGTTCCGAAGACGGCGATAACTACGCCTTTCGGACTCTTTGAATTCCTCTTTATGCCGTTCGGACTTCGCAACGCAGCACAAACATTCCAGCGCTTCATCAACGAGATTATAAGCGACCTGGAATTTTGCTATGCATACATTGACGACATCTTAGTCGCCTCTAGCAACGAAGAGGAACACAAAAAGCACCTGCGTACACTTTTTAAACGCTTAGAAGAGAACGACATATTACTGAGCCCGGCTAAGTGTGTTTTCGGAGCCGACAAGGTTCTGTTCCTGGGATACGAGGTCTCCGCTGAAGGCACACGACCTCCCGCAGATAGAGTCGAGGCGATCAAACAATTTCCCAGGCCGGAGAACGTCCAACAGATGCGACAGTTCCTGGGCACACTGAACTTCTACCGAAGATTTATTCCCGAGGCCGCACAGGACCAAACCATATTAAACGGTCTACTCAGAGGGCCCAAAACTAAAAAGAAGGCTCCCATTACTTGGACTACGGAATTAGACGAGGCCTTCGAAAAATGCAAAAGCAGTCTCTCAAGGGCTTGTGGCGACTTAGAGTTGCCTTTCTACACCACGACACAGTCTATGGTCGTGGGTGGCGCTGTTCGAGCGGGAACAGATTATGTTAGTGGTTACTCGCCTGTGTCACGGTTAAGACCGATCACCTTACCGTGCACCGAGATCTTAATAAAGTTCTCTTATATCTCGTATATCTACCGAGTGAGTTCTTTCCCGCCTTCGCAATCAGCTTACGGCAAGGAAGTATTGTGGGCACTTCAGCCGGGCTGTAAATACATCGCTAGGCCCCACAATTGGTGACCCCGACGTGATACGCAATCCGCGTTTTTCACGTTCGCATCGGCGGAAGGAAGATCAACGGCGAGGCTCAGGTCTTTTCTCCCGCTTTCTGGGGATTGACCTGCAGCACGGAGAGGACCTCATCCACGCCCTATCGGCCCTGAGGATCCTCGGACTGCCCGAATTGTGGCGTCACCGACGCCCGGGCAAGTCCATTGTTCGGGCCCTTCAGAGACTTCGGGCGAGCCTATTACCGCCCGAGGGAGGCCATCTTGTGCAGCGCAAGGCCGGCCGTTCTCCGCGCACGGACTCAAGTCGGCGGGATCCCGCCCAGAGGCATCTCCGACGACGCGGCCGCGCCAGGTTAAGGGCGCACCCAGGTCAGTGCACTACTTGTGCCGGCGTAGTCATCCCGGTGGTCGCGCATTCCGCGCAGGCATCTCGGCGGACTACTTCGTGCCGGCGTAGTCATTCCGGCGGGCGCGCATTCCGCGTAGCCATCCCGGTGAATTTCGTGGTTCCGGCGTGGTCATCCCGGCGGACGCGCATCCCGCGCAGTCATCCCGGCGGACTATTTTTGCCCGGGCGCAGTCATCCCGGCGGGCGCGCTTTCCGCGTAGCCATCCCGGCGGACATCTTCGCGCTTACGCAAGCATCCCTGCGGACGCGCGCTGCGCAGCCATTTCGACGCACGTGACCGGCCAACGGGTCCATACCGGTCAATTCTCCCGCCGTTCCCGGAAGCCCAAACGGGAATTGGCGTGCCAACGGGACTATACCGGGACTATTGCTCTCTGCCATACCGTGGCGTACAGCACACCGTGCAGCACACGGGACCATACCGCGGCGCACGGGACCATACCGTTAGCGTGCGGCTCTATACCGCAGCGCGAGGGGACCAGAGTTACGGGACGTGTTTCACACTCAGCCTGAGTACGAGCACACAGTCGCAGGGCGTATGAGGTACATCTAAGCAGCGCAGCCGGCGAGACCGACGTCCGACGGAACGCGGGTCAGCGCCCCTAACCTCCTTTCGCCGACTTCTCGGGTTCGAGCATCACCTCCATCGAGGGACGACGCCTCTTCAAGAACTTCGAGCCCGTAAGGCACATGCTTTGTCTTGTATTGGTTATTCTCCTCGGTTTCATTTCTTTTGTCTCGTTTATTTTTGAATATCGAGTCGCGCCCCGTGGTTTAAATATGACGGAGGAAGACGCGCGCGTAGAATCATACCGGGTGCCGAAGATTCCGCCCTTCTGGCGACAGGCCCCGGAGGACTGGTTTTTGCGAGTCGAAGCGTCGTTCCGAAACGCGAACATTACTGTCAGTAGTACGAAAGTCGATTATCTAATCGCTGGCCTCGATCCAGAGGTCATTTCTCATGTCCGGGATTTAATCACGGCGGACCCGCCGCCCCCTGATTTGTATAAAGTGCTCAGGGATAGGATTCTTGCGACGTTTGCGGTCTCACCGGAGGCCCGCTTACGACAGTTGCTTAAAGGACAGGTTCTGGGGGACCGGAGACCCTCTCATTTGTTAAGTCAGATGAACCAGCTCAACGGTGGTCAATGCAGTTCCGCCGTATTAAGATCTCTCTTTATCGAGCTGTTGCCTGAGACGCATAAGGCGATTCTCGTTGCTACTAACGAACCTGATCTGCAAAAATTGGCAGAGATCGCGGACAAGCTCGCGGATATTAACGGACCTAGTTCCGCTGTCGCCGTCGTCGCGCCTAAGAAAGAATCCCGAAGTGCTCGTTCCAAAGCTCCTCTGAGCACGGACGAGCGGATCGACAAGCTTACCAAGCAGATCCAATCCCTGAGCACCTCGGTCGCAAAGTTGCGCCGAGATAGGTCCTCCTCCCGCAAGCGTAATGATAAGCGTGGTGATGAGGCAGATAAGCCCGATACTAAGGCAGGCTACTGCTTCATTCACCGTAAGTACGGGAAAAAGGCCACGTCGTGTCGCAAGCCCTGTTCTTGGAAAGAAGACGCGACGGAAAACTAACTCGCTCTCCCCGCGAGGAGACGGTCGGGGATTTGGGGCATAAACAAAGCCGTCTACAC